GAGAACACGATGGAGAAGGAGAGCGACACCATCGGCAACAGCGCCTGCAATTAGATATATGGTTAAATAACTTGTAGAGGAAACGCATTTATGTGCTGTGAGCTATGAACAACGAGTGCTGAAGGATGTGCATGTGATTACCTGTACTATTATTGCTTATTTATAGGCAAATTACATTTGTGTAGTTACGTGAATATTCCTACGTTCGATGTGATCCGTCTTTTGAAATAATTTATCGGTAATAGATGTAATTCCAGTTCCATTTTCTTAACTATTTTATCAAAATTTTCAAATATTCACCTATTTAGACTAAATTTATGCGTTACTGTCTTTATTATAGAATGATGTTAACAATGTTTTGAAGCCAGTCAGAAGGAGCATTCCTTAGTCACCAATGCATATCACCAGTTAAGGAAACAAATTGGCTAATTGAGACTTATGCCACTCAATGGTAGTGCGAAACTTGTATTCAGAAAACCACACCAGTGGTGAAAATTTGAAGCCGATCAGATGAATCATTCTTCAGTTATGGCACGGATTCCAACGATTCCAAGCTTTTTATTTTTGATATTTTACTACATCAACGAACTTACCTGCACGTAAAGGAAACTTAATAGGTGCTCTCCTGGCCGTAAGAGGCATCAGTCATTCAATACTGAAGCCGTTCAGAAGCCGTAAACTGAAATTTATTTAACGTTATTTAACGGGAATAAAAGTTTCACACAATTTAACACATAAAATCGTTAAATCTGCACCTACACAACTGAATCTCACTCACCGTACTTCTAGGCAACTTTTCGCGAGCGTTTGAAACTAAAATGGAAGTTATCCGAGCCATTTAAAGATGTTGGGAATGGGTTCAGTAACTTATGTCCTAGGGCATGTGAACGTCTCAATTTTTTCCTGTAATTTCGTACTAGTTACCGTACACAAGTGCTGAAAATTTGAAGCCGATTGCATAAGGCGTTCTTGAGCTGAATGCAAAATAGCAACGTTAAATCGAGAAATAAGAGTATGAAAAATCAGGCAATGTCTTCAAGGTACCCCTTTGAGGAAGCCTATTTTCAGAAATAGAAGAAAATATATTTTTGAAAATAGATAACAGAATATATTGTGTCTTCCTCTGGGAACACCCTTTAACTATAAGGACATGAGATAATGCATATATAAGTAAAGATAAATTATTTGTTAAAAAAGTTAAAGTGAAGACAAACAATTTCTAGAAATAAAACTATAGAAAACAAGCTCATTTTTGTTGTTGTTGTTGCTAAAGGGCTACAACGGCTCATGTCTTAGTGTCCAGTAGAAAACATGAATACAAACACAAAAGATGAGAGATGGATACAGAAGCCGGGAAGATAAATATACAACGCATAAGCTTGTTGGCACAGCTCGTGGCTGTTCGCCAGCATACCTATAGTCGCTCCCTGCTGTCTGACCAGGCCTCCTAATCGATCAGGCTGTTGGTGCCAGCCGCTCGCAGTCCACCGTATGCACTACAGCCCAGCAGATCGGGAAATGATCTGAGGAATTTGCCAAGCTCCTTCTTAAAGACAGCGACGGGATTGTTCGTAATCTCCTTTATGCATAAAGAAAGAATATTGAAGAGTCATGGTCCCTTTACATTTATCGCTTCCCTGCTTTTCACCAGAGGTATCTTACACCTTATATCAAGCCTCTCCTGTTCAAAGCTTAGTATCGTTTGCAAGGAATGATACAGTGCTACGGTATATAGCCCAGACGCGAGAATGAGAAAGAGAAGGGAGGCGAGTACTGTGCCTTGAGAAGAGCCCTTTACTATAGCCCCGCCTAATTTCACTCTGTTTACTATTACATTTTGGGCTCTGTTAATCAGAAAGTTAAATATCCGCATGCCCACCTTTCCCGTTATTCATTTTGCGGACATTTTGCGAGAAATTACCCAGGAATGGCACTTGTCTAAGGCTTTTTTGCAAAGTCCATTTACACTACATCTGCATTTGTCTTGTGTTCCAGTTTGCCGAAGACCATGTTGTAGTGGTGCAGCAACTGCGAGAACCTATACTGTCCTGGGTTGTGGAAAGTACTGTTTACTCTCGTACAAGAGACATAATGTTTAGATAAACATAAGTCAAATGTAACCCATCTTGTTCTTTTTCCCACGTCCCCGTCACACATTCCATAAATGCTCCCGTACGCCATCCCGACGGCATCTTATAGAACAATTCTAGTTTGCCAACAAATTTTATCTGTAGACTTAACGTAGGGTGTATTAAGCATCTGAGCAAGAACATGTGAAGTATATCCTTATATTATCTGTCTCTCCACTACTACTCTGGGCCACTCAGTTTTCGAATATAACTGAGTTTGCCAATAACAGTCTTACTTTATCTGTTTCTTCACTCTATCGAAGGCAGGTGATAAGCAGCGGCGGTGGTGTGAGGCTTGTGTGGGCCTGTGTAGCGGGTAGATGAACGGGCAAGTGAATGGGCGGGTTAGTGGGCGGGCGGGCAGGCGCACGGATGAGTTGCCAAAGATATTCGTATGTATTTAGGATATTTTAGGGTTACTGAACTCGAAAAATGGCAGCAGGTTTTTCAAATTAGCTCTAGTTTGTGAGACATTGCATACCTTCCTTCAACTGCCAAAGGAAGAACAAAAAGGCTAGGTTAGGTTAGACTAGGTTAGGTTAGGTTAGGTTACAATAAATAGGTTACAAATAACCCACAATACCGTGGGTTATTTGTGTACAATTAACAGGGAACTTAGCCATAACGCGTTTATATGTATATGTAGTGACAATTTGTATATATAGACAGTTTTAATAAAGATTAGAATTTTATTTTTAAATGATTTAATATTATACGAAAGGAACTGTATCAACAACGACTACGTGACAATATTGTAGCCTCTATTTTCTTATTTTTCCAGATAAACATGAGCTCTTCAAGAAGAGCCTGCTTAAACAATCCCAGTGGATTTTGCGACATTTGTGGCGAATACTCTTTGTAAACAAAGAAAAAATCACAGATTTTGTAAATCAAGCTTATCTTTTTATTTCGGAGTGGCGCTCGGAGAACAAGACAAGTCTTGGGCTCCCATGTGGTTTGCGAAACCTATATAGAATGCTGACGACGATTGTTATTTCTGTATGGTGAATGTGAAAGGTTTCAGTCGATACAAGAAAGTCAAGTGGGAATTTCCTGACTTTTAGCCAGCAAGGAGACCTGTACCACACAGCCCATACCAGTGTTCACAACACTGCCTGACCTTCCGTTGTCAATGTTGAAGAACCTCAGGGTTTAAGATGTAACGCAGGTGATAGTAGTGGAAGTGAATATGAAATAAGCAGTTCTCCCAAGAAGAACTCAAGATGAAATGAAGAACTTGTATACTGCAAGAACATCCCTGGATTTCGTCTTCGAATGGGATTTGAATATCGACGAGGAGATTAGCAGCTGTTTATAGATAGCACCATTAAACGCTTGAAATGTGTCTTATTGTACAACGGCAGCCAATATGTATCTCTTATAATTGCTCATTCAACAAAACTTAAAGAATTCGAAAATATCAAAATGGTATGGCAGAAGCTTTGCTATGAGCACAAGATGTCTGTTTGTGCTGATCCGAAGATGGTAAACTTCTTGCTTAGACAACAGAGTGGATATACAGAGTGCCCTTGTTTCATATGTTTGCGGGAAAGTAGGGCGAAGGCAGACCATTGAATAAAAGGGACATGGCTTTCAAGAAAAAAATGACTGTAGGTCCAGCAAACATCATTAACGAGCCATTGGTTCAAAAGGATAACATTATTCTGCACACCACTTCACATTAAATTAAGGATAATGAAGCAATTTGTTAAGACCTCGGGCAAAGATGACGATTGCTTCAAATACATTTGCAGATCGTTCCCTTGAATAAGTATAGGAAAACTGAAAGCTGGAATCTTTGATGGTCCTCAAATTCTAAAGCTTTCCAAGAAATCTAATTTCACAAAATATATGAATGGTGTTTAAGTTTCTGCATGGTGTGTAAGTTGTCAAGAAGTTCTTGGGTCATCACGAAGCAGACAATTTTGAAGAACTGGTGCAAAACAAGCTGACAAACTTTAAGAATTTAAGTACTAACATGAACCTAAAAGTGCACTTTCTCCAAAGCCACCTAGACAGATTTCTACATAATCTTGGCGAGGTCAGTGAGGGAACAAGGGGAGAGAATCCATCAATATATAAAGGTGATGGAGGAAAGATATCAATGCAGATGGGACACACGTGATGGCAGACTGTTGTTGGAGCCTCCAACGGGACTGTGCTGATGACCAACACAGTAAAAAATCGCACACACATCGTCTTCATTTGCAGTTATTAGTGGCACCGGAATTATCTTACTATATTAATCTGTAATTATATAGAATGAAGTGCTAGTATGTTTTACAAAATTTGACTTTTGCAAGATATAAAAAACAATAATTTCAATGCGATTTGTAAATTAGTCCCTCCTGATCAATATTTTTTTCACATCTTTAATGTTTTACATTGGGATACCAAATTTATCAAAAACCGATGACATTCGGAATCAGCACCACAAACTTACCCTAAAATCAGTGTAATATCATTGTCCAGAAAATCAGTGTTGACCAGTGAATTAATTATTATTATTATTATTATTGTTATTATTATTATTATTATTATTATTATTATTATTATTATTATTATTATTATTATTATTATTATTACATTCACGAGGAAGTGGTAAAGCGGTAAGGGTCATACAACACCAGGGAAATGAGACATAATCAGGTTTGATTCAAGACAAAGGAGAATAACTCGAATTCCTTGAATCAGGAACCCGTCATGAACGTCAAGGCATCTAGGGTACTTACCAGCATGAGAAACGAACCAAAGGCCACCATCCAGCCCCAACCTCCGTTAGGAGGACTCAGCTCGTGACCATTGCTCTTCTCCATACAAATCTTAGCCATCCTCCTTCAAGAAGTTCTCCTTAGTCCGACTTCAACTGTCCTATAAGATAATGGAAGTTTCTTTACACAGCTGAATTATCTAAGAACATAAGAAAGAAGGAACACGGAAGCAGGCCTACTGGCCCATGCGAGGCAAGTCCAATTCATCCACCGGCTTAAGCCAGTGCCTAAAGGTAGTCAGGTCAGGTCACATTCCCAAAGGAAAGAGCACGGCAACTGACTTAGTAGCACAAGCTAGTCGATCCAACTCACTCCCAAATACACCCACTCATGTATTTATCTAACCTATTTTTAAAACTACACAACGTCATAGCTTCTATGATGGTACTCAGGAGTTTGTTCCACTCATCCACAACTCTATTACCAAACCAGTGCTTTTCTATATCCTGCCTGAATCTGATTTTTTCCAACTTAAATCCATTGCTGTGAGTCCTGTCTAGGCTAGATATTTTTAGCACGCTATATACATGCCCTTTATTAATTCTTGTTTTCCATTTATACACCTCAATCATATCCCCCCTAATTCTACGCCTTTCTAGAGAGTGCAGATTCAGGGCTCTCAATGTATCCTCATAGGGAAGATTTCTGATACATGGGATCTTGGGTCATCTCAAGGTCCAACCCTAAGTGGTGATACTCAAAATAATTTTGGACTGGAAATAAGTCTGCAGATACAAAAGAGGTATATCAAATGGTCTTATGAATAACTAAAGTGTAATGAACACTTGTCTCTGGCCAATAATAACCCACATGGAAACAGAAACTCAGGCGATTATTTGATCTGTATATTTCGACTCCTCCTGGGATCCTCTTCAGCAGTTATCAGTAGATATCTGCTGATAACAGTATTTCTCATTAGTTTATATGCAATAAATTCAAATTAGCCTGTTTGAATCTGGTTGTACAGACCAAGAACATGTGTCAGTTTTGTCTTCAACAATCAATACCGACGAGGGGTTTAACTGTTTAAAGAGAAAGGTTTATATTTTATTCATATCAGTTCTGGATTACTTTTACCAAATCAAAAAAAAAAAAAAGTCAGAAACTCAGGACTCTATCAGACAATCTCTATTTCAGAATCCTTGTTAGAAGTCACAGTGACTGACGATGAAGCCAAAAGAGTACCAGGTAAAGCGTTCGTATAGGAATAGATAAGAAGGCGATATATGATCATATACAGGAAATGACGAAGCATATAACCCCAGACAATACACTGGAGGATTTAATGATTTGAACTATTGTTGCCCAAGGTGAAACCAATACTAGTAAGATGTGAAACAATAAGATATAGTGATCTCAACCTCCGATCTCAACAACAAAACAACGGACTATATAAAATATACATGCAAATCCAGAGACTATCTAATCCCAGACAACTAATTAATGAACCAAAATGGATCATGCAATTTTCAGCCATATAGTATGTAACCATGATGAAACACTCATGTAGCTAAGCATCATTTCCGTGGGACCCAGTGAGCATCTCATTACATAAGGATCCCAATGGAAATAAGACAGATAGTCCCCGATGACACACCGACTTTATTGGGGTACCCTGGGTGGCTAACCCTCCCACAGGTTGAAAATCCGAACAAATCTTATCTTATCTTATCTTATAAGGTCATTGTGAAATTTCATTTGCTATGGGAGCTTACGTATCATATTTGAAGTGAGATATATAATTTTTTTTTTTACTGGACCGATAAGCCGATGGTTGCCCTCGAATAAATGCATGAAAGTTCCGTAAATTGGATCAAGTGGGGTACCTGGGTGAAGAGATAATAGTCCATCCTTATCACCACAACATAGCCATAACATCACCACTACAACTATGTAGCACAATCACCCCTTAACGCAGCCATAACACCACCATTATCTCCACAACCACCACTTAACACAGTGCCAAATGAGGGAAGGAATTGAGCATTTAAACATGACTGACAGGCGTCCAAACACCAGCTACTGTCAGACGTACAACTAGCGAAGTGAAGTTGTCATCTATACTGACGTTTATCTATACTGACAGTCGCATCATATCACTTGTACCACCATCATATCACCTGTGCCAGTGTTAAAGAGAGGGAAACACAGGAGACATAGAAATCTACAATACAAAACTCCAAGGAAACTATATAGGACGGTTATTCCCTCAGTGCCAATCGTAGGAAAGAAGTGAATAGTTAAACAGTCAAGGTTAATGTTTTAGTAGCTGACCTATATTCAGCTGACTAAAGTACAGTGAGAGAATCATAGGAGAAAACGCCAAATCTATCTATAAAACTAAAGGAAAGTCAGGTTGTAGGTGGCGTTTTCTTCCTTCAGTGTTTTTAAAAATGGCTGAGACAGCAGACCAGTTCAGGCAGTCAACAACACGACACAACCCCGATAAATGGAATTCAGGGGGATTTTGACGGATAAAGCCATTGATTAAAACTTTCTGGTCCTGCCAGAATGGATATGAGTTAGAAGTGCAATAAGTGAAACCGGACTGTGAAGTGAGGCATGAAGGGAAGTGTGAATAAGAGGATAAGTGAAGTGTGAGATGGCTGGAATGGTGGAGGGAAATGAGGCTACCAGCAGCTAGGTGCAGTCCAGCACCTGCTACAAGTGGCAAGTGGTTCCCAGTAATGGGAAGAGCATCAAAATAAGGAAAGTTAAGAGAGAAGAAGATTTGAAGGTAGGAAATCGCTTCTCTGTTCTTCAGGATGAGTGTACTTCAGTGGCCAGTGAAGGTAAAGGTACTACTTCCCCTGCAAATAGAGGTAAGCGCATACTTGTGGTTGCTGACTCACAGGTAAGATATATGGACCATGCTTTCTGTAATAGGAATAAGAAGGTGATAGAGTGTGCTTCCCTGGAGCTAGTGTTAGTGACATAGTCAACAGGTTGGATAATACCATGTCAGGTAACGGGAATAAGCCTATTGTCTGTCTCAGTGCTGGTGGAAATGATATTGGGAAGGGTAGGAGAGAGGAGCTGCTAGATAAGTACAGGTCAGCTATAGATTTAATTAAGTCTAAGGGAGGGGTCCCAATCATGTGTAGCATCTTGCCTAGACTGGGAGTGGGCAATGAATGGTTGTCTAGGGCAACTGGTGTAAATTGGCGGCTAGACAGATACTGCAAGGAACTTGTAATCCCATTCATTGACAGCTGGGACAACTTTGCAAGGGATGGGGTACATCTCTCTGGGGCAGGGGTCGTAGCACTTGCAAACTCGATCGAGAGGGCCATTGCTGAAATGCCTAGGATTTTAAAGTGATAGAAGATTGAGGTATGGGTGTGTATGGAAAACAGGCAGGTTGCAACACTAGGGTTGAAAACAATAAACGTATAAAAGACATTCATCATGAAATTATAAATAAAAACAATAGATCAGGTCAGCAAACAAAGGGAGACACCAGAGGGCAGCAAGGGACTAGCTCCTTTAAGGTTTACTATACTAATAGCAGGAGTGTAAGATATAAGATAGATGAGCTAAGATTAATTGCAAGTGCAGGAAACATATATATTATTGCTATAACAGAGACCTGGCTCAATCTGAAAGATAGAGAGATGCCTTCTGAATGTCACATACAAGGCTATAAATTATTCCACACTGACAGGGTCAACAGGAAGGGTGGTGGAGAAGCGATGTGTGTCAGCGACAGTTTAAATTGTTGTGTTAGACAAGATATAAAATTAGAAGCGTCAGCCACTGAATCCGTTTGGTTACAGCTTCTCGAGGGCCGTGAAGAACTAATTTTGGGTGTGATTTACAGGGCCCCAAATCTTGATAGGGAGTGCAGTAAACTTCTATGGGACGAAATTCATAAGGCATCTATATACGAAAATGTTGTGCTAATGGGAGACTTCAACTATAGACATACTGACTGGAGCAATTTGACGGGAAATTTAGAGTCAAATGACTTTCTTGATACGATTCAGGATTGTTTTTGTTTTTAAACAGCTTGTGACAGAACCAACTAGAGGAAATAACCTGCTTGACTTGGTTCTTGCCAACAGGGAAACGCTAATTAATAATCTTGAGTTTAATGATGAGCTTGGGGAAAGTGATCATAAATCACTCAGTTTTAATATATCATGGAATTCCCCTAATATAATGGCAGTCAAGTCTTTGTCCCTGACTTCCGCTTGGCTGATTTCATAGGACTGAAAAATTACTTGGGTGGGCTGAACTGGAATGACTATGGGTCAGGTAGGTGGTGTTGGTTGCAGATATGACGTTTTCAAGAGCATAGTTCTAGCTGCTCAGACAACTTATGTTCCAAATAGGGAAATCAGATTAAACAAAAATGATCCTAAATGGATGAATAATAGATTAAAGCATCTTATTGGTCAAAAGAGAGGCATATATAGGCAAATCAAAAGAGGAGGGGGCAATTAAGAAATCAATACATTCAGTTAAAGAGAGAAATAAAAAAGGAATAAGGATAAGAAAAAGAGATTATGAGGTTAAAGTTGCAAGAGAATCGAAGACCAACCCAAGAGGAATCTTTCAGGTATACAGAAGTAAGATCAAGGACAAGATAGGCCCACTCAAAAGTTACTCGGGTCAGCTCACGGACAGTGATAAGGAAATGTGTAGAATTTTTAACATATACTTCCTCTCAATTTTTACGCAGGAAGATGGTAGCGATGTTCCAGAAATAATAAATTATGTAGAACAGGACGATAATAAACTATGCACGATTAGGGTCGCAAGTGACAAGGTCCTTAGGCATAATAGACAAATTAAAACCTAACAAATTCCCAGGTCCTGATGAACTGTATGCAAGGGTTCTAAAGGAATGTAAAGAGGAGCTTAGCAAACATATCACTATAAACTGGCATGGTGCCAGATAAGTGGACAATGGCAAATGTGATACCTATTTTCAAAGCAGGTGACAGGTCCTTAGCTTCGAACTATAGACCAATAAGCCTAACCTCCATAGTGGGAAAATTTATGGAATCAGTAATTGCCGAGACATTTCGTAGCCACCCTGAAAAGCATAAATTAATCAACGAATCTCAGCATGGTTTTACAAAGGGGCGTTCCTGC